CCCCAAAACCCCAAAACCCCAAAACCCCAAAACCCCAAAGACTATAAACATTATTGAAAATTAGTTAGAGGGTCACTAATGGATTCAAAACCGCATTTAAGACATACGAGAAAGAAAACGAACAAAAAGAATGGTAATGAGCAGGTGAATCTGAAGGAAAGTGGAGAAAATGGCAAACACTCTGTGTCCCTTGAGAAAGAGAGAGGTAGTTCTGGAAAGAGAATTGGATTGTTTCATGAAGCTCCAGAACACAATAAATATTTGATTTACATTAAGACAGGCTATAGAATAGGATTCAGCAGCTTTAGAGATTGTTTGAAATCTATTTTTATTATTCATAATGAAACAGTAAATATTTGGACCCATCTGATTGGAATCTTTATGTACCTCTTCCTTGCATACTACGTTTATTATTTAATGCCAACTACTGAAGAATTAAGAAACTTTGATGGAAGTCAAGGGGATCTAATCAGATATCACAAATATTTCGTAGAACATATTCTTGGATATGATGTAAAGAACTTGAGAGAAGAGAACAGTGAGATATTTCCGGTTATACTTCATTACCTTGGAGGAGCAATCTGAATGGTATGCAGCACTTCACATCATGTTTTTATGTGCCATAGCGAAAAAGTATTCCATTTCTTCTATAAATGTGATAGCTTTGGAATTCTGTTCATTGCTCTTGGAATGAACTTTACTATGAACTTTTATATATTCTATTGTGAGCAGACCTTCTATATCGCTTATATCTACATCGGCTTGGCAAATTTGAATTCATTATTAATAGCAATTCTGACTTTTCACCCTAAGTTCAACCAGACAAAATATAGACCTTTGAGAGTATGGTTGTTCATAATATTCGGTGTAATATGTTGTATTGCTATTTTCCATTCTTTATTCATAACTAATCCATTATACTCTTATGGTGCTGCACCATGGTGGTTTAGCGGTAACATTATTTCAATTTTTGGATCGTACATTTATGTTAAGAAAGCTCCAGAGAGATACTACCCATGCACTTTTGACAATTGAGGACAGAGTCATAACATTTGGCACCTATTAATTATGGTTACCTCTTGAGCTCATTGCATTGCCTCCCTATCAATGCATTACGCAAGAATGGATAAAGTTTGTCCTGATTGAGGTTAAGTTTTAATTCTGAATTAGTAAAGACTAAAAAAGGATTGGGTATATTGGGTTCAGCTAGGCTATTCTACTTGAATATTAAATTAAAGTAAAATTCAAGACTCTTTGAGTGTTTCGGGGTTTTGGGGTTTTGGGGTTTTGGGGTTTTGGGG